CATTCCAAGTTACAATTAATTGATGTTTCTAGCTGTTTCTTCTCATTTGCCCCATCAGCAAATGAAAGTCCCAAAGGTCTTGTGTCTAGGGATCATAAAAGATGAACTATTTATTTACACATGTCATGATAGAGTTCAGTTCCTGAACTCCATTGACAACAGTGCTTCCATGTGCAAGGCTTCTAGTTCCAACCTATAAATTTACCTTTTACACCTGTACATAATAAAACTCATATATCCACAAATATACCACAGAGACATATTTTACGCCAAGTTTTCTGAGCCTGCCTGGCATCACAAATCTGTGTTTCACGTGAAAGGTGCTGGAGTCAACCTTATTCTAGACTGCATAGGTGGATCCTATTGGGAGAAGAATGTCAACTGCCTGGCTCTTGATGGTCGCTGGATCCTCTATGGTCTCATGGGAGGAGATGACATCAGTGGGCCTCTGCTATCCAAGCTACTTTTTAAACGAGGAAGTCTGATCACTAGTCTGCTAAGATCTAGAGACAAAATGGTAAGTGATCAATGAAGAGAAAACATGTTCTTTCAATTACATGAAAGTCTGAGAAAGGCACCGTGGTGGCTCAGTGGGCCACTCATGGAAAAGTTAGGCCATTTGATTCACCCACCAGCCACCAGAAGAAAGATGTGGCTTTCTGCTTCCGTAACTATTACAGCCTTAGAAATCCAATGGGTGGTTCTATTCCGCTCTCCAATTCACTATGAATTGGAATCGACTCTTTGTTTGGGTGATAAGTGATATTCGAGCAAATCTTTGGTTAGGCAGATGTAGAAACTTACCTGTGGATATATAAAGAGCCCAATTTCTGAGGATAAATTAGGGTGGGTCAACAGAAACCTGAGCATCCTGGAAAGAGGGTGGCTAATACTTCATATATAATCTAAACTTTGTAACAGAATGAATAAAGTATTGTACACATTAAAAAGTACTTCTGAAAGTTCCAAGACTGTTTCCAAAGGGATGATCTTCCATGTACTAAGAAAGTTCTAACAAGCACCAACTTAGGGAATGCTCCCCAGGATGGGTTTTACAACTGCTGGAGGACTGAACTCAAGTAACCCTGTCCCTGGCTGCTGCTTGCTTAAACTTTTATTTTAGAACAGCGCCCTGGCTGCTACTTACAGTAATATTCCAATCCCAGCCTCAATCATTATCTGATATAGGAGAGACGTTACCTATTTGGGGGCAGGTAAATAAAGGGTATGATTAAAAGGTACCCCCGTGTACTTTTTCAGATGTGTATCGCGTTCAGAGAGAGCAGAAAAGCAGAGCAGGTTGGGGAGCGGCAGTGCAAGGCCGTCGGGTCCAAGCTCACGAGTTCCTTTTCCTATTTTAGTACAAGCAGACGCTGGTGAAAACTTTCACCGAACAAGTTCTGCCTCACTTCTCCTCGGAGGCCTCCCAATGTCTGTTGCCCGTTCTGGATAGAGTCTACCCAGTGACTGAAATCCAAGAGGCCCACGTGCACATGGAAGCGAACAGGAACATGGGCAAAATCGTGTTGACGTTGCCCCGGTGAAGCAGAGGGAGCAGCACCGGGCACATGTTTGCACAGTAAACTAGAAGAAAATTCATCGCCAAACGATCGAAACCATTGCCCCTTCTCGCCCTTGTCAACTGATACACGTTAAGCAGGTCTAAAGAAATAAAAAGTGGAGTTGACGCATGATGTGCTCACTGTCAGCCCCAGGAACAAGCGCGGCCGGACTGGGACTGGGACTGGGTGGGGTGAGATGGGGGGCGGGTGGGGCCCCAAGATTACTGGAGAGGCCTGTCGGGTCAAGGCTCAACCTGAGAGCAGGCCACGAAGGGCCGGTATTTCAGGATAAAGTGAAGCCGTCGGAACTTCTGAACTGCGGCTTGGGAACTGACGGAAGCCCAAGTCATCCCCTCGTATCCCACACAGTAAGCCAGTCTGCAGCTTTACGCCCCGCCCCATCCTTTCCCTCAACCTATTGGACTCTGCACCACCTCTCACCCCCTATGCCCCGCCTCATCCGGTTAGCTGGCCCTATGCAGGGTCTTCCCGACCGGAACACCGCCCTTCTTTGAGCTGTGGTTCCGCCCCTTCCTGTTCGGGAACCGGAAGTAACGTCACTCATTTTCCGGCCTCGCTTGTATCTGTTTGGTTCCGGTCGGAGTCTTCCTGTAAAGCAACAACAACTTGTACGTCAGCGCGTCTCGACGTGAAACGGCGACAGCCGCGCGTTTCAGCAGCTACCGGAGGAGCCCGGACGTTGATATCCAGTATTTGACATTGTTGTGCTCTAAGTAGATAGCCCGAAGATTCCAGTATTAGCTGCGGTCATTACATCAGTAAGCCAAGATGGCGATGCAAGCAGCTAAGAGGGCGAACGTGAGTAGCGGGGTCTTCTTCGGAGGTCGGGGGAGTCCTTCGCTGTGTGAGTGTCTCATAGACGTGAATGAGAGCGGGCTTATTCCTCTGTCCAGTACGCGAGAAGGTCCAAACTGCCCTGTCCCCATTCCAGGGCAGCCCTGGTTCTCCGCAGTAAGCTCCTTGATCACACTGCTGCCCTCGCACTTTGGGAAAGTTCCTCTAGGGCCCAGTGACAGTGACAGTGGCAGCCCTTGCTGACTGGCCTGTATTTAGGACATAGTTTCAAGACCTTCTCTGCCTAGAAATTGGTAATATAGACCCCAATAAGCAACTTAATGGTTCACAGGCGACTAAAACAGAATTTACTTCAGTTCCTGGGGGTTTTTGAGTCCTCGATTGACTTATTAATTCAACAATATTTATTGAGCACCAAGAGTCCTGGTGGTAAGTATTAGCCTGCAAGCTGCAAGATTGGTGGTTCAAACCCACGAGCCACTCTTCGGGAAAAACGAGGCTATCTGCTACCCTAACGATCCAGTCTCGGAAATCAATCTGTGGTTGCTGTGAGTCTATACCAGGCCTGCCTGCTAGGAATCATATTCGTTCATTTCAGGAGTCACTGAGATGCATTACTCTGTATTTGAGTAGATCAAAGGTTGACGTAGTAATATGCTGAGATAGTTTATTAACCCTGTCTAACACATATGCCCCCCAAACTGCAGTTGCCTTCTAGTCCGTGCAGATATTTTGGTTAATCTAAACGCAAAGGCCATTTAAAAGGAACACAATTTGAATCCCTCAAGGATGACAAAGCTGCCACTTTGATGTGGTATAAATTGAAGAGGGCAGCGTTCTTCAAAGAAGAGCATAAAGAGCTAAGGGGAATATATAAAGAGCCCAGGAAAGACGTAATGCTAAAGCCCAGTGTAAAAGCATACTTTAATTACTAAAAAGAAATAGCCGAGAGTTTGGAGGAAATGGACTGTTAAAAGAAGGAACTAGTCTTCCTCTAGTTCCTAAATGCTTCCTCCCCCACTTCCCCCACTATCATGATCCCAATTCTACCTTGCAAGTCTGGCTAAACCAGAGGATGTATACTGGTACAGATAGGAACTGGAAACAGGGAATCCAGGGCGGATGATCCCTTCAGGACCAGTGGTGTGAG